TTAGTTAAGTTGGAGCTAAGCTAATATTAGCTCTAGTTAAATGTTTAGTTAAGTTGGAGCTAAGCTAATATTAGCTCTAGCTAAATGTTTAGTTAAGTTGGAGCTAAGCTAATATTAGCTCTAGTTAAATGTTTGGTTGAGTTGGAGCTAAGCTAATATTAGCTCTAGCTAAATGTTTAGTTAAGTTGGAGCTAAGCTAATATTAGCTCTAGCTAAATGTTTAGTTAAGTAGCTAGAGCTTAATGTTTAAACATGTAGCTAGAGCTAATATTAGCTTAGCTCCAACTTAACTAAACATTTAAATGTTTAGTTAAGTTGGAGCTAAGCTAATATTAGCTCTAGTTAAATGTTTGGTTGAGTTGGAGCTAAGCTAATATTAGCTCTAGTTAAATGTTTAGTTAAGTTGGAGCTAATACTATATTATATATAATATTAGCTCTAGCTACATGTTTGGTTAAGTTGGAGCTAAGCTAATATTAGCTCTAGCTAAATGTTTATAGTTAAGTTGGAGCTAAGCTAAACTAAATTTTCTTCCCGCCTTGCGCCCTCTCTCTGTCTCAGATCACCATCATCTTTAAGAGCTGGCGGCAGTGTACCGACCAGCAGCTGTACCAGGCGGAACTGGACCACGTTCCCGCTGCCTTCGCCGACGGCTCTCAGTGGAGCGGCGAGCGACGGGGCCGCCGCGTCCTGACGGTGCGGACCGACAGTCCCGGCCGGCACGCCGAGATCCGGGCGGCGTACATCGGTACGCTGTTGGTGGTGCGGCAGAGCGGCCGCTCGCTCGGCCTGTCCGTCCGCTCGCCCCGCGGCGTCCTGGAGGCCTTCCACCCGGACCACGACCTGCAGCTGTGCGTGTGGGGCTGCCCTGCCTCCCACAGGGTGGACGCGCTGCGCCCGCCGCCGCAGGCCGCCGGCGCCGCGGAGGCTCATTGCGCCGCGCTGCTTCCCACCCGGGACGTCTACTACCACGCATGCGTGTTCGACCTGACCGCCAGCGGGGACCTGAACTCCAGCGGAGCCGCGGTGGCCGCCCTGCTGGACGCCCGCAGCATGACCGGCAGCGGGCAGGGCGTCCACCTGCTGCCCGTTGCTGCTGCGGGACCAGCGGGGCCGCAGCCGCCGCTGGTCCCGCTCAGCATGCTGGGAGTTCTGGGCGGGGCCTGGATCACCTGCTGCTAGTTACATTCACTCAATTACATTCAGAGTAAGTTTTTGAGATCAAAATAAAGTACTTTTAGGAGTATTTTTACAACGCTATACTTTTTACTTTCAGGTGAGTGATTTCATTATGAAGTGTCGTCACTGTAGAGTAAAACTTCTGGATCCTCCACAGTGAATAACGTCACTGAATGAAGAACAGACTTATACCATTTGTAAAATCAAATAAAACGTTTACAGCAAAAGTTTAGTTTTAGTTGAGTTTAGTTTTCACTATGTTTAATTTGTTACTAAATACTTGTTATCAAAATAAATATTTAATTTGGAGCTAAATATTTAGTTTTGAAACTAAACTAAATATCTAGCTTGTGAATTAAATATTTAGTCTGGAACTATATGGCTGAAATATAACTTTAAAAAATGAACACCCACATTTCTTTGACAGTCTAAATAAACTAAACTTTTGCTGTTAGTTTTTTAGTGTAACTATGCAAACGGCGCCTCGTATGTTTTAACCAATCGCCATCAGAATCAGACACACCTGCAGATTTTGTTAAATTGAAAGAAACAAATTTTGAAAAAAAAATATTTCTTGAGTTTTGCTGTTTTCTATGTATTTATATAAATTATTGTCAATCTGGTTTTTAAAATATCAACATTTTCTCATAACTTTATGTTTTGGTTTGTCTGATTATGCAAGTCTTTAATAGGAAATGATGTTTTTTTCAGTTACTCAGCACTTCGGTTTCCTTTTAACCAAAAGTTTTTTTCCTCTAACTTGAGTAATTTCTTGGACGGCTATTTTTTACTTTTACTGGATAAAAACATTTCAGGTTTTCTTACGCTTCCCCCCACTGGACGTCAGGAAGCTGCAGAAGGTGATGCCTGTCTTCATCGTTTTGATGCAGCTGGAATAAAATAAAAATCCAGTTTTTCAGTTTTCATGGACACTCAAACATCTCGGCGCTCCATAGTTCAAAAACTATATTTGTTCTCAGCTGCTGCACATTAATCTGATTCTCAGGACAGTTTCCAGGGTGTTTCATAAAAACAATTCATTTCTTTTTCATCAGTCACTTCTGAGTGACTCAGACTTCAGCTGCACTCCCCTCTGTGTTTCTGTGTTTGGAGTAAAAATAGATTTTCAGATCATCAGAATCGTCGGTGCAGTTTTGGTTCTGCAGAGGATCCAGTCGGACCTTTAGACCAGCAGAACTTTAAGGAAACAGCTTAAAATGGCTGTTTTTATTTTAAAGCACATTTCAGCAACAAACTGATGCAAAAACAAGCAAAGAACTTTATGTTGATGGAAAGTTGAAAAACAGACTAAAATTATTTATTTATTATTTATCAAAGACAGCTCTCAGCAAAATAGTTGTTTAACTTTGATCTAGAGGAGGCGCAGCATGCTATCTGCACCTTTTCAGATGTTAAATACGTTTTGTTTTGTACTTGGAGCCTTGGTGAGCAGTAACGTTGAATTTAGTCTCAGTCTGTCCAGTTTATTCCCCGTTACAGTTTTTAAACTCTACTCTTCAGTCTTTGTTGTAGATTTGCTAAACAAAGTCATGAACTTCCAGCTAACCAGTTTCACAAATCCGCCATTTTTTTCTTGCAGAGATTTTTTTTACTCCAAATTCAGGGTTGCCAAAATTACAAGTAAACAAATAAAAATATTTGGTTTTTGGTTGTATTAACCCACACAACATATTGATATGACATCCAGGCTGTTTTGCTAGCAGTAGCATTCTGCTAATGTTAGCATGTGTGCTAGCATTTATGTGTTAGCACACATGCTCTTAATCAATCTGTGTTGAATAATCTCAATTGAAGAACCAGAACAAAAAGTATTTCTTGTTTTGCATTGATTGTATTGATTGAATTATTTTTCCTGCTAGTCAGAATATGAATGCAGATCTTACATTTTCAGTCAGAATCAAGAAAATGTAGCTATGTCGAGTCAAAACTACGTTTTAAGTATCTGTAATGTAATTAGTCAGAAGAAACTGATTTCACGTTAAAACTGCCTGACATAGATACTATATGTCCACTTTGAAAGAGTCAATGTTTCAGCAGTTTTGCAGTTTTCTGGACGTCTGTTCCAGATCGGTGGTTCTGGTTCTGGGGATGAAGAACCAGAACAAAAAGTATTTCTTGTTTTGTATTGATTGTATTTATTGACAGAATTTGTTAAGTTTTTCTTACCCTTGTTTTGTGGAAGCTTGAACGTAATAAACCTGCATTTCTTCCCCCAGTGATTTACTGGATTCGATCATCAGCTCATGAATATTTATATTTACCCCAGAGAAAGTGGTGGGAGTGAATTCATCATAAAAACTCAGAGGAATTTCTGAATGTTTTTCAAAAGGAAACCTTTCATCACAGCGACCGACTCCCAGGCCCAGAAGTGGCCTAAGCTCCACCTGCCAGGTGCTGCAGAGACCTGCCACCGACCTGCCGGTGAAATCAAACATGTCAGACATTTACGGTAACATGCATTCTGCAAGAAAGCTCCAGATAAATTCAATCTGAGTCATGAAAGTAAGAAGAAATTTATCACTAATCCGGCCATTATTGATGTCTTTGTGTTAATTTCCCCAACCCCGAGAATCAGAGGATCTGAGTGTCAATATGCTTAATGCAATTCACCATTACAACAACCGCTCAGCAGCGCCGTGTGTGTGTGTGTGTGTGTGTGTGTGTGTGTGTGGTTTAGAAACCAGTCAGAGCAGCAGAATGAAGAACAATGATAATGACAGATGATGATGATTTATGAAAACGTCTCATGTTTACATCCGCTGGTTTTTAATGTCTTGTGGAATGAAAAAGTTTATTCAGGCCTGATTTTCTTTTAATTTTTATGTAATAGAAACACAGCAGTATTGAAATGTTTTTTGCAACATTAGCAGAATATTAAAGATTTGTAATAATACATTTTATTTGTAGGCACCTTTCTTGACACTCAAGGTTTAACATAAAAACAAACACAAAATTGAAATACATAGTAAAAATTAAGTACAAAACAAGATTTAAAAAGAATGCAATTGCAATCAAGGAGTGTTGAAAGCGATGGGTTTGATTATCGACTTGAAGTGTGGCACAGAGTCGATGTTACGGAGATCAGGTGGGATGTGAGAGATTGAATCGGTCCGTGTGATGATATTTGTACTAATTGTAATTTGTGGAGAGTTTTCTGTGGCAGACCAAAGAGAATTACAGGAATCTAAAGTGACCAGACTGTGGACCAGAACAGCAGTGGACTGAGAAGGACGGAGACGACAAACAATTCAAGAGATATTACAAAGGAGAGGGCGACACCTGCTTAACCTGACGGAGGGAAAAGTGGAGGAGCTATTAGGTTAACTTAGCATTGATTAAGTACCAATTAAGAAAAATTCAGTTTTATTGCAATTTAAGAAAGTTAAGAGTGAACCAGTGTTTTATTTCAAGAAGGCAATCAGTGAGGGATGAAAGTAGAAGCATAGAATCTGGTTTGGTTGAGAGGTGAAGCGAGTCATCCACATAGCAGAGCCCTGAGGAACACCTGAGGTACCGGGAGCAGACCGAGAGGAACGGCTGAAACCAGTTCAGAGGTGAACTCAAATACCAAGACAGGATTTAATGTCAAGTAGGATGTTATGAGAGATTGTATGAGAGGCTGCAGTCAGAGTTTGGATAATAAACCAGAGTCAGCAGCAAGAGGAGGTCACTGTAACTCTAAGAAGTGCTGATTCGGTACGGTGGACGGAAACCAGGTGGGAATCGGTCATTTAATTATTGCTGGAGATGAAAATGAAGTTGGGCAGCAACTGTTGTTTCAAGACAGGCTGAAGATCTGAGTTTTGAATTAATTTGGTGACGTCATCGACCGAGTGGAGGCTGAAGACCCAAAATTAATTAGTAGAGAGAACTGGAACTGGAACTGATAACATTAAGGCAACAGTGGGTAAAAGTTGCTGTTGGACATGTGCCATGCAAGAAAACTGATACCAGAGTGTTACAAGAATCAGAGGAAATCAGGAAGAGAATCTAGATCAGCGTTTCCCAACCCTGGTCCTCGAGGCTCACTGACCTGCATGTTTTAGATGTTCCCCTGCTTCAGCACACATGATTTCAACTGATGGCTGATTAACAGGGTTTTGCTGAATTGCAATCATCTGAATGGGGTGTGTTGAAGCAGGGGAACATCTAAAACATGCAGGTCAGTGAGCCTGGAGGACCGGGGTTGGAAAACGCTGATCTAGACCACAGGTGTCAAACTCCAGTCCAGGCCGCCGCCCTGCAGCTTTTAGACTCTGCTGCAGCAGCTGAACAGAATAATCAGGTCGTTAAGGCTCTGGAGAGCTGATCTACACCAGAGGAGGAGATGAAGCCATTTGATTCCAGTGTTTTGTACATGAGGCACATCTAAAAACTGCAGGACAGCAGAGCACTGGAGTTTGACTTCCTGCTCTAGAGGTTTGATAAAGTACAGAAAACAAGACTTTGGTGTTACCAAACATGTCATGCTAAGCTAGTTAGCAAAGACACGAATGTTTGTTTCATCTGTTCTAGTTTGATGATATTAGGAATAAACCAATCCTTTCATTTCTGTTCGAACGTTTTGTTTTTCAAATATTTAAATTAAATCTTTAATGTCTCAAAAAGAGCAAAAAGTTGATGATGCAAAGTTTTCTCTCATTCTCTTTACAAAATATCTCGATCTGTTACAGGTTGCAAGGTTCATGTTTTTATATTTGGATACATTTTTTTGTGATTTTCAAATTTTAAGATATTATTTGACTTCTGCATTATTTGTGTTTGTAAAGGCAGCAGATATGTCGTCCAGTTTGAATTTATCTTGATTAATTTTGCACACCAGTGACTTTCTGTTTCTATGTATATTTAACACCTATAAATAACTAAGCATCAACCAACCACCCTTACAGATGCAACTTTACACACAGAACAGGTCATCTGCATCTGATGTAAAGACAATAAAAGTGTCTACTGTAAAGAGAAATAAAACGCTCCGTTTGTTTCGTTCTGATCTGGATTCTGACTGCAGACGTTTGTGTCACAGTTTGGCAGCTAAAACTTTAGATTATGTAAATTTATAGTTAACTGACTTTCTGGTGAATCATTTGCTGCTTGTCATGTGTGTGGTTGTTTTGTGGCTGCAGTGAGCCGCCGGCCTGCAGCAGGACTCGTCTTGTCCTGCTGCAGGCCGGCGGCTCACAGCAGGACAAGCTTCAACACATGGAGCGTTTACGACAGAGGAATCTCTCCGCCTTCCTGGGAATGTGGGCAGGGTAACGCGTAGGGATGATGCAGCATTTCATCACCGTTGGAGGAAAAATGAAACTGTGCTGACTGGCTGCAGGACGGCTGGGTTCTAGAGGTCCAGATCAATAAAAGGAGGCAGGAAGAGTCGACTGACGAATGAGTCAGAGTTCAGCAGGACCGGACCGGGACGCAGGAAACCCTGAATCATTCTCCATCAAATTAGAGCAGAAACATTTAAATTCATTTTATATTCAAAATCCCTCAAGCTGGAGGTCAAAGGTCAGCATGCAGCCAAAATACCCTGACCCTGAAGTCCTGTCGTCTCTTATCTGAGGATGTAAAACATAAACACTGTAAAAACACAAACTGTAAAAACACAAACTGTAAAAACACTAAATGTAAAAACACTAAATGTAAAAACACAAACTGTAAAAACACTAAATGTAAAAACAAGTGCTATAGTTTAGTTTCTGGTGCGACAATCTGAGTTCACCTGTAATGAGAAAAACAAACGTATGAGGAACTTTTCAGCACCAAGTGAATAAATAATTTCTTAATATGGATGAAAATTTACAAATAAATTCATTTATAACAAAACATTTTCCCCCATGAAATAATCTGACAATGGAGCGAGAACGTTTTCATCAACGTGGAGGCGTTATTTACCACAATAATACTTGGCAGCATGTGTTGTTTGTGGTGAATGAGATCAAAGTTGATGTTCTAACAGTAAAAATGGTTTATTGCAGATGTTGAGTTTCTGCTGAGTTCCTCGGACGTCTGCTGACATGTTGGTCCCGGAGTGAGTCAGAGAAAGTGATGAGCATTTCTGTGAAATGTGAAAAAGCAGGAAGGTGTGAATTCCTGCATCCCATCATGTGAGGAAACATGCAAAACTTTCCAACTCTGATGTCAAAGCTTCTGAGAAGATGGCAGGAGGCTTCCGAAGAACGAGCTGCGATGATGGAGGATAAATATGAGCTGCTGCAGCCGGGAGCATCCACAGCACCAGCAGCTCGGGTCGGGACCAGAACCAGGACCAGGATCAGAACCAGGGCCAGGGAGACACCGGAGCGCTGCATCTTCACCGCTGCTTCAGCCTCCAACAGAGGAAAACAAGTCAGTTCTTTCTGCCTCTTCATGTCCAGATTTGATCTGGTTTCTGTAGAAACGTTTTCTGATTAATGAAGTCAGAATAGATCAGAGGAAAATAATGTTATTTTATGAGACTAAAACGATTTCGTTTCTGAATTTTCTGGAAGTTAAATTAGTTTCATTTCTGCAGCAGCAAGTTCTTAAACAAATTAAAATAAATTATTAGCATCTTATTACATTTCTTTTTTCATAATTTGACAAAAATAAACATTTTGGGGTCATGAATGAAAATCTAAATTTATGTTTAAATTTCTACCATCGTCTTCTTCCTTACTATTTTTTAATACTTTTAATGTTTCTATGTGTCTTTATGTCTTTAGTTGTTTGTTTTTAATAATTTTGTTTTCTGTTGAGATGTTTATGAATTATATTTGGTAAAAAACAAACAAAAAAAACAATTAATAGACATAACTGAACTGAAATATCACAAGATTTTAACTTTATTTTCTAACAAGGAAATTAAAACCTTTTTGTTTATTTATTTCCATAAAAAACTGTTTAAAATATTAAAATAAAAAATAAAATGTGGTAACACTTTATTTGGTTTGTGCATAAAAGTGACATGACATCTGCCGTAAACATGAAGGAGTTTTTATGAATGTTCATGACTGTTGTTATTAGAAAGTTTAGTGGAAGGAAAAACTTGGTAGAAAAGGTGCACAAGCAGCAGGAATCACTGTAGCCTATGAAGCAAAACCTGAATAGTGAATTTATGGTGTGTTGTTGAGAGGAAGATGAGCGATATCAGAACTAACTGGACTTCCAGAACCTCAGCTGAACCTCAGCAGAACATATATATATATATATATATATATATATTTTTTTTTTAAACAATTATTATTGTGAGAAAATCATGAACATTCTTCCAAAGTGAAGAATTGGATTCCTGTGAATCAGTCTGGGTGGAACAGTTTCCATAAAACTTGTTTCACTTTGGAGTTAAATGACAGAACAAACATATTTTTTTGATGCTCTCTGACTTATTGGATGCAGCTGGAAACGGATGGCGTCATGTTGTGGAGCCGTTTCAGGCAGAAGCAGCCGATCCAGAGTGATGGATGTTTTCAGCAGCAACTGGTCGGTTCCGGTGGGAATCGATCTCTGAGTTACTGTAATGTTTCCATGAGTCACTGCAGCGCCTGGCCCAGAAGAACCCAGAAACATTCCAGCATCTGGTCTTAATGCTCAGCAGCTTCCAGCCCGAAACACGACACCCAAAAAACCACCGACTGTGAATTTTACATGTTTAAACACAAAAAATGCATTAATGTAGAATATTTTAAATTCAGGTGCAAAAAGGTTCAGGATTTATTTATTTCATTTTAAGGTATAAAAAACAAACAAAAAACAATTTTTAAGACTTTTTGTTGTTTTCTACAGACAATCAAAAACGTTAAAAACAGCATAAAAATTTTGGACAGATTTAGTTAAAATAAAAGAAATATACACAAAAATATCAACAGAAACATGAAAATAGAGAAAATTCAGTTTATCAGAAGCTGCTATATCTGCATTATTTACAGCATAAATAATAAACTAAACATGTTATAACAACATTCCTTTAAATAAAAAGCCTGAAGCATGTCGGACCGACCCGCTGCTCATTTTGATTAACTGGATCATAGTTGGATTTTAAAAAAAAAAAAAGATGCTTAATAGTTTAGTTTTTTTACTGAATCTGAACCAGATGAAGCTGAAACTACTGGAGGTTTATTTTTTATCATAAATGTAAAATGTTTATATTTTTGTTCAGTTTTGGCTTCTTGTGTTGTTCTGTCACTAACTGCCTTTTCTTGAATCTGATTATTCAATCACTAATTTAGCTGACAATTATTCTAATAATCAATTAGCCAGATTAATAATTCCAGCTGTAATGAATTGTACGCGGTTATAACGGGCTCCTCGCCCGTCGACCAAGTTGACAGTTTTTTCAGGATGTTTGTTTTCTCCTAGCTATGATGTCATAAACAGGTACACAACTTCTGTTAGTTTTTTAGCAGCCAGCCTAGCCTTGTCTGCACAATTTGGAGGTGTTTACGCAGCTCCTCTCTCTGTGCGCAGCAGCTAGCATCTTGTTTCTGGGAGGCCTAACTAAGGCTGCTTCTCTTGCAGTGACTTGCCGTCTCGTTTGCTTCCTGTACCTGGGCTTGTGGGCGGAGCTTGTAACGGCGATGCCAATGAGCTGGACGTCGTCAGTGAACGCTGACGTGCGAAGCCTAGCCGGGAGCCTGGATGCGGAGCTGCAGAATTACAGCCGCTTGCTGAACGAGTCGGTGAGGCTCCATCTCTGGTCTCCGTCCAGCAGAAACTCGCCGGTGGTTTTAATCTCACTCTGTTTCATTCTGTTGTGTTTTTCACAGAAACACTTTAAAGGCCTGCAGTCTCTGGAGTGTGAAGAGACTCCGGTCCTCTGGAGCAAGGTGAGCTGGAAACAGGCGCTGGATTCGGGGCTCCGTCTCGCCTTCATGCCAGGATTTCCTGTAAATGTGTCGGTTATCATAAGACATCCCTGGTTTAGCAGAGGACACGATTCCTCTATTGGCTGCTGAGAAAGTGAAAAATGATTAGCTACAAAGATGATAATTATTTGATTGTGACGCACTTTGGTGTCAACAAACAACAACCAGATGTCCAAACTATCTTTGCTTCTCTGAGTTCTTGCCACAATTTATATGTTTGCTCTTTGCCCCCCGGCCCCGAGATCTGCTTTTTGTCATTTCTTAGTTGTGGTTTTTTTAGGATGAAACAATAAGAAAATAATAAATCTGGAAACTTCTCTTTGGCGCCAATCTGTCAGAGGGTGCTGAAGTTGGTTTCTGCTTTGTAGTTTCAAATTCATGACCAACCGGCTTCATGTAGTGTCATTTAGCGTGGTTACCAGAGGAACAGTACTCTGTGGTCATGAAGGGATGTAGATGGCCAACAGCAGGCTCAGCTAGGCCACAAAAAATGCTGAGTCAGTGTCCTGGCTTCTCCCATAGCATTATACCTCCTCTACCAGCCTGGACCAGGATGAATCCATTCGTTCACCAATTCCTGAATTATTGGGCCAGGCAACATGTTTACAATCTGCAGTTTCAGTGACTGTGTGAATATTAGCCTCAGTTTGCTGTTGCTAGCGGTGAGGTCGTCTGCTGCTGTAGCTCGTCTTCTTCAAGGTCCAGCATGATGCTACGCATTCAGAGACGGTGTTGGAAGCAGTGATTTGACCTCTGACATCAACAAGACAGCTAGGAGAACTTTAGGCGGTGCTAACTGCTAACTGAATGGTTATGCTAGTCATTGACATTAGATCTGCTAACAGAGACTAAAACTTCAAACCAGAAGTTGAAATGTATTCAGTTGAAAGTTCACAGATTAATTTAGGGGAATCTAACTGCGTTAAAAGTTTTCAGTTAGCAAAAATTGCTAAATGAATAGTTAGCATCACTATTAGCGTGTTAGCAGAAGTGTATCCACCACTAGTTTTGAGTCATTCAGGTTTTCTATGAATTTTCAATAAAATGTTTTCATTGCAGTTGGCCGACAGACTCTGTCAGAAGCAAACCTGCACAGTGGATATCCAACGTTACGTTGACGAAAACAAACGTAACACAACGGAAACTTTGGCAAAAAATATGATGACGTTCAACGGAGAGCTGCTGCAACACCTGGTGAGTTCCTGCGAGCTGATTGGAGGAGAAACTATAGAAAAGAAGGGAAGGATCGAATTAGAAACGGAGGAAGGAATAAGGTGTTTTTTCATAGATTTTGTAAGTAGAAGCAGATGATTGATTGGTTGATTGACTGATTGGTTTCAGAGTGTGGACCCCTGTCCCGTCCCGTCGTCCACCAGCGGTCCTGCCCTGGTCCCGGGCCACCAGAACCTCTCCAACGTCCTGGTGAATCTGATGCAGTGCATCACCTGCTGGAGGAAGCAGGTGAAGGCGGTAGTGGAGCAGAACACCGGTTCTGCTCTCTGAACGCAGACGATTGAATTCCTCAGGATAATTTATTGGCTCCTCAGGATCCTTCAGGTCAGCTGGACTGATCGACGCTCCTCCAAACAGAAATCCTGTAAATTCACTCACATCTGAGTATCAATTTAAATGATCTGACTGGCCACCTGTCCAGGTGACCCTGCCTCTCGCCCGCTGGCAGCTGGAGAGGCACAGCGCCCCCTCCTGGCCCAACGGCAGAAGGCTCTAAGAAATGGATGGACATGTCTAATTTTCTGTTTGCACTCATAAAGAGAAGCTTGAATTAATGTTTATTCCTCTTCTGGATTATCCATCTTTGTTATTTTATGGAGTCACGTTTTCCCTTCTTTCCTTTACTGTATTAAACTATTTTTTTTTAATTGTTTAACTGTTGAGATTTTCTGCGCCGTCTCTGTGGGGTGCTGTTGAGTTTGTTGTAATCATTTATGTATTTTTGTAACTTTTCTACAAGATGACTGAAAATGTTTTTCTATTTATTGAATACTGAATAAATCATTTAATATTTAATACAATTAAGATAAACAAAAGTCTGTTGGTCACATTTAATCCCAAGGCTGATTTTCAACTTCTGGTTCTGAACAGTTCTGCTGCTTCTTCCTGGATATGGAAACACTTTTTAAATAACAAATTTGCTCAATTTGCCTTTAATTATTTGCTACTAATTATTAACAACACTGATCTATATAAAGACAGCCATAATGTTACTGATTTCTTAGAATAATGATCAACAATGAGTTAAAAATTTAGGAAACATAAATATTAATATGTGACACTTTATTTCAACAACATGGTCTAATATGAAACATATTTTCATCTAGTCAATTTCAAATTTACACCAGTGCAAGTATAATTTTTAACAATAAAAGCAAACGCTACAGCTCACTGCTAATGCCTGGTTCACACCACAGGATTTTAAAACTGTTGGGTTATTTTCAAAATCAGAGAAAATACACGAACAGATTTCAATAACCAACCTTCAGATGTCAGACGGGAAATCTCGCAAAATCTCTCGAGATCAAACGTGAATTCAGAGTAAACAAACATGGCCGACGATGGCAAGGCGATAGTTTGGTTATAAACGGAGATAAAAACAGCGCTACGGTTCTGTTTTCCAAAGGAACGTTTCTGATTCATTCAGTCGCAGCTTTATTAACCTGAAACACGGCGCAGATTTTTGAAGGAGAAAATAGTATTTTCTCTTAAAACTCCTCAAGCAGCCACACTAGTTAAGTACAGGAAAACTTTTAAAAAATAGAAACATTTTAGAGGTGAAAAAAAAGTTTTTATTCAAAATAGAAAATGTTTACAACATTGTATCGGTGTTTAATAACGCTGACTAGCCACCTGGTAGCCATGGTAACCCTGGTTCTGGTTGAAATGAAGTGGCTCCTGGAAGTTCTGGTCCTGGAAGCCCTGGTTGTGGTTGTACTGGTCATAAATCATGTTGTTGGCATCTCCAGCTGGCATGTACCCCTGGTTCTGGTTCTGGTTGTAATGAAATGGCTCCTGATACTCCTGGTTCTGGTTCTGGTTGTACTGGTCAGCCATGTTGTTGGCGTCTCCAGCTGTCATGTAGTTTGGTTCTGGAGCACCTTCATCCGGGTCCATGAAGGCGTAGTTCTGCTCTCCGCCGTCCGGGTCGGGCTCGGAGTCTGAGTCTGAGTCGGCGTCATCTTCACCAACGAGCCGCTTGTTTTTCTTTAAAGCGTCTTTTTGTCCAAACATGCGGAACAGAGACCCAGCGATGAAAAGGTCAAAGATCTGCAGAGCAAAGGGCCGTTAGCACCCCCTTCAGGCAGCCACAGTAATTACAACTGAAATGCAGAAATCCATTTTTAAAAACTTAATGACTGAAATTATATTAAATTGTACAAAACATTATATTACTTGTGGTTTTGCTGTCTATTTGAAGTTAAATTAGAGATTAAAATACAAACATCTCATCCACCATTAGTGTAAATTTAGTTATGATGAGAATTAGATCCAGCAGGAATTAAAGTAATGAAACAGTTCAATCAGTACATTGATCATTTTATTGATGCTGTTTTTGTTCAAACTAGACTTTATAACTGAGACAAAATATATGTTTTTGAACAGGTTTTGCTTTTTGTCATTATTCTATAAACCTAAAAAAATAAAAAGTTATAAATATTGAATTTCAACATATGTGCTTGAATTGGTGTTCAAGCCAGGAAAAATAAAACCATCAGGAATTCATAGTTACAAGTTTTAAAGTCACTATGAGATAGAATATTTCATATCATAATTTTGATGAATTTTAAAGTCATGATTATGATACTGGAGCTAACAGCATGACTTTCTATCTCATAATGTTTGTTCTAATATCTATTACTCTAAAACTTTAGAATCTGAAATCATTATTTTTATTTTTTGAAATTATGACTTCCTGTAATTATGACTTTATGACTTTTTCATGGTGGAAATGTGCTTCCATCCCGTTTCACGATGAATATTCTATTACCATATGTACTCATGTTAATTAATCAATATTCATATTTTAATTTTATGTATGTCATAATGAAAATATAGACTCACAATTTCCTATTTCTACAAACATACCTACATTTTGCTAATTTCCATTGCTTAGTTGCAAGAGTCACTAAAAGCTATCAATTTCAAATTAGAAATAAATTTTATAATTTTGATCACATGTTCTCTATTTTGATGTATGATATATAGAAGACATTTCTCAGCCTAAATGTTAAAAGTCCACCTGTTTGTTCTAGGACTACAATACCCATGATGCATCTTTGTTTTTTGTAGTTCGACTTTCACGTAGATGAGCAAGTTATTTTCTGTGCTTCTGTGTGGCTCGGTGGCATAAAAATCCATCAACGGATAGCCTCCACCATCAATCTTTCTTTAATCCCGTGTGTATGAGACCTGTGTGCGTTTTTATTATGCAAGTATACATTTTTCTGCCCGATATTTGGGTTTATGTCAGTTATTAGCCCACGAGGTGAAATTAGCCTTGTCTTTTCTCTGGCTACCGATAATGCAAGCTATTACTTGTAATAACTCAAGTTCTATGCTATTCTTTGCCAGATATATATCACCATTGTAGTAGCATATGAGGAGATTTGCCGTTAATTCATATTTCTGACGGTTTTTTGTCATTTGTATGTTTATTGCATTTTACCGATAATCCATGTGTGGTGTTATGATGCCCTCTATTGGATTTCTGTGTTACTACAGGCCATTTTCATCCTGCATGTATGTGTAGCCGCTTTGCCCGCATGGCTATTAATATGCATCTTTATTGTTTCTCCTGTTTCAGATAACCACACACATATACACACACACATCTATACACCCACACATATACATATAAAACCGAATACAACTACATCGTTCCTATCTCTACGTCATCATCTGTCCCATCATCTCCCATGTGCTTCCTATTATTCTATCAATAAAACTTCAAAGCTGCACCGGTGGAGTTGGCCTATTCCTTCTGACCGAGGAAGATTCAACTGAGGAGAAATCTGAAATTAGCACAAGCTAGACGCACACAGTCTTCTACACTAAATGTATATTTTACTGCAGAATCTAATTAAGGGTTAAGATTAATTACTGAGTTAATCGGCCTGCTGCATGTTTCCTCTTTAATAAACCAGGTGTAGTTCAGACTCCGACCACTAGATGGTATCTAATTACTGATAATAGGAACCTTAGAATGAGAGGAAACTATATCTACCGGCATTTGTAGTTTTTATACTCCCTCCTGGTTTTATTCCTAGTGAAAGAGGAATGAGTGGAGGTTAAATCTTTCAGATTATTCTTACCTGTATTAAAATGAGGAATGCAGCCATGGCAACGATGGTTATGAAGTTCTCCTGCAGCCATTGGTTGATCTTCTGACCGCAGCCCTGCGACATTAAACACATCGTTTCATTGAACCAGCTCATTATGAGGTGAATATTCTCAGTGTAGGCGTGTTGCATGTTGTTTACATCTGGAAATTTTGCGCATTAGCGCAACACTGGAGTGCAAAAAGCTGATTCTTTTGCGTTCCAGGCGCTGCTGCGGTAGAACATATAACTAAATGAAATCTGGAGATCTATTGTTAATTCAGTGCAGTGCGCCACAGCAAAGGGGAAAACAACGCAGAAAACCTGTTAAACAACAACTCGAAACCATTCCTACTCTTTTTTCTCGCTCACTGTGTCGGCCACCCTTCATGCAGACTCGTTGTCATAGCAACTGACTGACAATGCCACTCTATGCGTCAGGATTCAACACCAAAAAATATGCAAACATTTTCCACACAAAGAGCAGAACATTCAGTACATTACAGTTTTATGTTTATTTTGTGATTATTAATAAGTGATTGCTGTGATAGATTAGCTACTGCTGCTATTAGCTAAGCTAGCACAGCAGTGGTTGATTAGCTAATTTGAAGCCCTGCTCTACTGACCATTTGTCAGAGTTGGTGTGAGGGACGCTTTTTTTTAACTGAACCAAAACACCAAATTCCACAACATATCTACATGTTAAGGTTGTCAAAGCCAAGCTAGCATAACTGACCTACTTACCTCTCCCTAGCAATTTTTTCTTAATTAAAACTTTCCTGACGAAAACACTGCGTCTCTTTTTCTTTTATGTATCAGACGTTAGCAGCTTTTTGCCCTCTAGCAGGGGGCTGCGGCGTCACGCTGCAACGCGTCTAGGGATCCAGATTTCTGCTGTTTGTTTTAGTCGACTGTACCTCATTAAAAATCCCATTTCCTGTTCCAGACACCGGTTCATTGGTGTTATTGGTTTCCAAGCACCAGGACGAGTTTATGCTAGGCTGAAAGGACAGAAAACAGGAACACGGCAGCACGTTCAGACTCGTCAGGTTCAGAGTTTGAATGAAGGAGTTCTTGAGCCAGTCGTCCGGTCCATTTATTCCGCAGCAGTTGGTCTGTGAGCCAGAATAAAAACAAATATCAACCAGGCGTCTTTTACTTTAGCTAGGACAGAAGTGATGGTGGAGAAACTCACATAATGCTGGATGTTATCCATGATTATGTCAGACCTGCGGCTGCTATTTCCGTACCGACTTATGATGTTATTCACGGTTTGAGTCAGACTACTATTGATCTGGTGAGGGAAAACAAGAGTAAGCTACGATCTTTGATAAAGACTGAATTAAACACAATAGCACACAAAAACAGACTGAAACATTCACACATGCATTCAAACCGCATCAGAGTTCAACCGAACCGATGAATCATTGTTAGCTTTTATGGTCCGCATCAGAGTTTGCAGGGGCGGATCTAGAAAAATATTTATGGGGTGGCAAGAGGGGGGCAGGGATTTTTTCTGGGGTGGCATATATATATATATATATATATATATATATAT